CTACCTCAGCCTCGCAAGTAGCTGCGATTACAGGCACCCGCCACCATGCCCAGCAAATTTTTTTGTATTTTTAGTAGAGACGGGGTTTCACCATATTGGCCAGGCTAATCTTGAACTCCTGACCTTGTGATCTGCCTGCCTCGGCCTCCCCAAAGTGACTTACCAAGAGGTTTTCTTTTGAGCTGGTCCTTCTCTACATATTTATCAAAACAGTCATGTAAAAATTAAGCAATCTTTACCACTTGCTCTGTTCAAAGTGTTATTTACATGTTGGAGAAATGCTGCAGAAGAGTGGGAATAACCTGACTTATGGTAGGATACTAGGTTCCTGACCCCATATGTCATATAGATTCATGAACTACAGCATAGGATTTATAACATCTGCTTATTACATAGTTAAGAAATCAGATAGCTCTCATATCTTTTTTTTCCCATTATATTTCCTTTTTTTTTTTTTTTTTGATACAGAGTCTTACTCTGTCACCCAGGCTGGAGTGTAATGGTGCTATCTCAGCTTACTGCAACTTCTACCTCCCAGGGATTACAGGTGCCTGCCACCATGCCTAGCTAATTTTTGTATTCTTAGTAAAGATGGGGTTTCACCATGTTGGCCAGGTTGGTCTCGAAACCTGACCTCAGGTGATCCACTCACCTCAGCCTCCCAAAGTGCGGGGATTACAGGTGTAGGCCACCACGCCTGGCCTCTTTTCTTTTTTATGACAAGGTCTGGCTCTGTCACCCAGGCTGGAGTGCAGTGGCGTGATCGTGGCTCATGGCAAGCTCCATCACTTGGGCTCAATCAATCCTGATTCAGTCTCCCAAGTATATGGGACTACAGACACATGCCACCACACCCAGCTGAATTTTTTTTTTTTTTTTTTTTTGAGATGGGGGTCTTCCTCTGTCGCCAAGGCTGGAGTACAGTGGCACAATCTCAGCTCCTTGCAACCTCCACCGGGTTCAAGCAATTCTCCAGCCTCAGCCTCCTGAAAAACTGGGATTACAGGTGCACACCACCATGCCCAGCTAATTTTTCTATTTTTAGCAGAGATGGGGTTTTGCCATGTTGGTCAGGCTGGTCTTGAACTCCTGACCTAAGGTGATCCACCTACTTCTGCCTCCCAAAGTGCTGAGATTACAGATATAAGCTACCACACCTGGCTGGAATTTTTTATTTTTTGTAGAGATGGGGTTTCATCATATTGTCCAGGCTGGTCTCAAACTTGTGAGCTCAAGTGATAGGACCACACCCAGCCTTTCAATTTTGTTGTATCTTTAATCATGCTTTGGTCTTACTTATCTGATTAGGATTTTAAGTACCCCATTATGGCATCCTGGTAATGAACAAATAATCCGTATTTATTATTTGGAAAATCAGAATGACATTTAGAGTACACCAAATTGTATTGCTTGCCATTTCCGATATTCTCCTCTTTCTCTTTCTGGTTAGCCTCACACAACATATTTCCTTATTGTCCATTCTTCTTATACGGAAATACTATTCATTTCTCCTCTCCCTGCTATGCCTAAATCCTACTAATTTTAAATACTCAAACTATTTATTTCATAAATACTTCATTTATGCTCCTAATCAAAAGTTATCTGAATTTGTTTAGTACCTTGTACCTTGTAGTTATCTTAAGTATTTAAGATACTCTAACATACTAGTTTTTTGTACACATGTCATGAAGACATTATTAGTTTAACATTTCTCAGATTTCTTTGTATAACATCTTTCTCATAATAGGCACTTAAATATTGAATGAATATTTTGCAAAATAAAACCCAAATGCAAAAAACAAGACACTTGAGTCTGTGTTGCCAAGGTCCCACATGAAAAATATATTATCTCTAATTTGGGGAAGTACATACCAGTGATGCTGTCCGTATAGTAGCAAAGTGTTCTCGATTACGATAGTGCGATTTGTGACGAGATACTTGGGGTGGAGACTGTGGATCTGATGTTCTTGTTCTAGGATCTCCTTCTTCTCTGTAATTTTCTTCCTCCTAGGCAAAAAAAAGAGACAATACTATGTAAGGTGAAAAGTTTGTTTGAACCTTTATGGAAATTAAAGTTTAAAGACAACTTGATCAATAAAACTCAAAGACATAATTCTAAAAAGCAAAAAAAAGTAGAAATGCTGATTTTCTTTTCTTTCAGAAACAGGATCTTACTGTGTCACCCAGATTGGAGTATAGTGGTGTGACCACAGCTCACTGTAGCTTCAACCACCCAGGCGCAAACGATCTGCCCACCTCAGACTTCTGAGTAGCTGGAATTATAGGCACGGGCCACCAGGCCAGGCTAATTTTACGTTTTTAGAAATGAGATCTCCCTGTGTTACCTAGGCTGGTCTAGTACTCCTGGGCTCAAGCAATCTTCCCTCCTTGGCCTTCCAAAGTGCTAAGATTACAAGTGCAAGTCAATGCACTGAGCTTTATTTTCAATACAATTAGAATTTGAAGAAATTTTTTGTACAGTGTATAAAATAGTACACAGACTCAAGAGAAGGAAATGCACGTGACTAGATTGACTGATTAGCTCACCACATCCTCAACTTTCTGGGCTCAAGTGACCCTTCTGCCTTAGCCTCCCAGGTAGCTGGGACCACAGGCATGCACTACTATGCCCAGCTAACTTTTTTATTTTTTGTAGAGATGGCATTTTGCCATGTTGCCCAGGATGGTCTTGAACTACTTGGTTCCAGTGATCTGCCTGCCTTGGCCTCCCAAAGTGTTGGGATTACTGTGCCTGGCACATGACTAGATTACATGCAAAATTGAAAAGCTTTAATGTAAGTTGAAAACAAAGATGGTGAAACATGTAGCCAATATAGTCAATGTTTTAAACAGCAGTAGTAGAAAATAAATTGCTGAAAGGCTCTTTGGTTTTGGAAGCAATGGAGCTACCTTTATGATACTTCTGCCATCTGTCCAAAATAAGCAAAAACAAAAACAGTTGTGAAAAACTTAAGGACTGATATCTTTCCTTGAACTCAATTTGTTAGCTGAAGAGAAGGAACATTAGTTAAGTAGCAACCAATTAATTATGGGAATAAACTTTTTTTTCGAGATTGGGCCTCATTTTGTTGTCCAGACTGCAGTGCAGTGGTAGGATCAAGGCTCACTGCAGTCTTGATCTCCAAGGCTCAACTGATTCTCCACTACTCACTGGGACTCCAGTACTCAGCCTCTTCAGTAGCTGGGGCCACAGTATGCATAGGCCAAACCTGGCAATCTTTTTTTTTTTTTTTTTTGAGGTGGAGTCTCGTTCTGTCACCAGGCTGAGTGTAGTGGTGGGATCTGGGCTCACTGCAACCTCTGCTTCCTGGTTCAAGTGATTCTTCTGCCTCAGCCTCCCAAGCAGCTGGGACAACAAGTGCACACCACCACGCCCGGCTAACTTTTGTATTTTTTAGTAGAGACGGGGTTTCACCATGTTGGTCAGGATGGTCTCGATCTCTTGACCTTGTGATCCACCCACCTTGGCCTGCCAAAGTGATGGGATTACCTACTACTTTTAGATAATAATGCAAGCAGTGAAGTGAAAAAGGAAGCATTCCTATTTTTGTTTGTTTGTTTTTTGAGATATAGTCTGACTCTGTCACCTAGGGTGAGGTGCAGTAGTACAATCTTGGCTCACTGCAACATCTAACTCCTGGATTCAAGTGATCCTCCCACCTTAGCCTCCTTAGTAGCTGGGATTAGAAGCATGCACCACCATGCTGAGCTAATTTTTAAATTTTTTGTAGAGACAGGGTTTCACCACGTTGCCCAGGCTGGCCTCCAACTCCAGTCTCAATCAATCTGCCCACCTCAGCTTCCCAAAGTGCTGGAATTACAAGGGTGGGTCTCCACTCCCAGCCTTAGCATTCCTATTAATTGTTAAAAGGAGTTACCTGACTTTCCAATATTTTCCAGAAAATCAAAAATTTTATACTCAAAAAGGTAAAGAATAATGCTGTAAACAGCCACATTTCCTCAACCCAGAATCCACACTTTCTACCATTACATTCAGCTTTATTTTTAAGATATAAACATCTTGGCGCGGTGGCTCACACCTGTAATCCCAGCACTTTGGGAGGCTGAGGTGGGCGATCACTTGAAGTCAGGAGTTCAAGACCAGCCTGGCCAACAGGGTGAAACCTTATCTCTACTAAGAACACAAAAATTAGCCAGGCAGGGTGGTGTGTGCCTATAATTCCAGCTACCTGCGAGACTGAGCCAGGAGGATCACTTGAACCTGAGAGATGGAGGTTGCAGTGAGC